ATTTATAGTAAAGAAGATTTTTTCTCGTATAATCTACTATTATGTGAGTTAAAATACGTAAGGCTAGTAAAATACCTCTGAAAACTCTCAGGAAACAAAAAAATACGCAAAATAAATACACATTTTGTTTTCATCAACCATTTACTTCTTTTTGGTCAATTTCCAAGTAGATCAATTTAGCCAATACTGAGAGCTCCCATGACTTCCACAGTTCTTTGTTAAGGGGTCCGAATATGAAGATTTCGAAAAATTAAGCATAGAAATTTATTTGCTATTTTTCGTGTAAATCAATAGGTACATATCCATGAACCCTAAAATGCTCATATATATTGTTTGTTTGTAATTAAGCACAAAGCTACACAATGGGCTATATGTGCTCTGCCCACCACGGGTATCGAAACCCGGTTTCTAGCGTTGTAAGTCCGCAGACGTACCGCTGTGCCACTGGGGAGCCCTCATATATATATTTAATAAAAGTTGAAAATTTCCAAAATATGAATTTACATTTTAGATTATTGTTTAAAAAGGATTCTTACTTGTCAATATAAATTTTTTTAAATTGGCTCAGTGGAAGTTGAGAGATCACAAAACTCCTTGACTCCCATTTTTGGAGCCCCCTCATGAAACTTTCAATAAAATAAAACTTTATTCGTTTATGTTGTATGGAAATCAAACTTTCTAGTCATTTTGTCAAAAATCATGTAAGCATAGATACAAGCTATTGCGAGTTATTATATAGATATGTACAAATAAAATCTTTAAACACCGTAAATATTAGTGGATAAGAAATTAAAGCGACGAACTTTGTTTAAAATTGATCTCGTTTACTCCTCCTTGTTCCGTACTTCTTTAGTAAATAAAGCGTCTGTTTGTTCGTTGAATTTCGTGCAATGTTAATCGAGAGTTATCTGCGCTATCCGTCGCTAATTTAGAAGGGACGGCTCTTACAGAATAGGCCGCAAGGGCGAGTACGTTCAGTGATGAGATTCAAACGGGCGACCCGGAGATTGCGAGTTTAGCGCCTTAACTAGGCATATATACATTTTGTAAGATTTATGAAACTACTATTCCTTATATGGTGAAATACTGAACATGTCTTTTCTATATTCACATTCTATGAAAATAACACAATTTTAATAGTTATATAGTAATATTAACTAACAAAGAATATGACTTATGTAATTATTTATTAACAATAAACAGTTTTACCAGTGATGTCCATTTTTTATCGTTTTCATTTCTACGTCTTTTTTTCACTTTTAGAAACAGTATTTTTTTGGCTCATTGACAATGAAACTTGCAATAAACAGTTTATTTCGCTACTAAATATACGTGAAAATATATGTACATAATGCAGACTGAGTGGCTTGTAGCGTGTTCAATATGTTCCTATATTTTAAACTTTTTCCCAATAGTCACAGAATAGATCCTACTGGATAATGTTGTACATAGGAGCAACACGTGGTAATGCATGTAGTTTTATCTCGTAGCAGACACTGATATATAAAAAGTGTTTAACGGAATATAAACTATCAAAGACATATGTGCACTTTTCATGCATATGTTTAACACCTGCCTACTTTATTCGATTATAAATGTAGCGGTCGCCACAAACTCCTTTTTTGAACATTCAACACGACAAAGAAAATAAGTCGAAACGAACGTGCATCGTATAATAAATAATAAAATGTATTGTACGTGTAACTTGATTAAAATAGCCGTACATGTGTTATATGTTATCTTTTGAGAGGCGTTTGTTGACAATTGTTTAAACTTCATATTACTTCTATACAGTGTGCTGCTCGTCATCATTGTTACCCTTTTCTTTATCCTATTTTCACATTCCTTTCCGTATACAGTTCTTCGCGAACTATTTACATTTGTACTTCAAACGTTGTTAATCAAAACTATACATCGAGTGACCGTTTTTTCCTAAAGACTGTTTGGATAATCGATTTTTTCAACATAAGTTATAGAATCAAAATAATTCAATAAAGCCCGTTATGAACTTACTGTAGATATAACGTTAATTCGAAAGCGTTTTTCGTTGCTGTTGTTTATCGCTTTCTCTTTATATTGACAAATCTTACAAGCAGTTTCTGTTAGGAAACTGTGAGTGCATAATATGATGTGGAGAAATTATTGGTGTTGTGTAATTTGGTACTATTAAATCAATTAGGCTAACAGAATTTGATATTTATTATTTTAAGCATGATCCAGTAGTGTAAATAATAATGGCAAAATAGTGTTTTCAATTTCTGTTAAGCTCCATTTGCCGACACTTCGAGTGAAAACTGTCATATTTCCTGTCCTCTTTTCTTCAATTCGTTATTAAAGGTGTATGTTCACTAATGATATTGAACGCACACTCAACATATATATATATAAGCGGCTTTAAGGTGTATATTTTTATTGTACTATAGCAGTCATAAGAATTAAAAGATATAAAGTTGTGTGCCTGAAATATATATCGATTAAGAATGACCAACAAAATATTAGAAACTTTGGACCGATATGATTCTGAAGGTAACGAAATTAATTTATCTCATTCATTAAAATTAATTGCTAGCAACAAAGCTAGATCTAAACACAACACTCCTGTGTATCTAGAACTACGATCATGAATTACAGCAAACTGTCCTCGTTGTGCTGTGTTTGTTATTTATTTTGCCTATTTTGTTTTGACGGTTTTTACAAGCTGAATTTTACTAATTACTGAATAACAATGTCTACATCTATCATTGTAATACAGGAGATTGAGTACGTTATAATAAAATGAATTTGAATATGCAAGTTAGAAATCACGTAACAACCACAGTAAACATAAAGTCGCGGAGAAACGGTATGATTCAGAACTACGTTTTTACATTGTTTGGCATTCGCAGGTAGTGTGATGCCACCGAAAATTTAGCGCTTTTGAGAAAGGTATGTAGCAATCCTTTCACACCCACAATATTAACAAACTCAGGTCAGAAGAATATGTTCAATTGGGGATATATATAATTATCAAAACGGGGATATATTTTATACATAATGACATTGGAAAAAGAAAGAAATATGGATCAGCTTGTGGCAACAGGACCATCCAGGAAGAGATTTGGAGAAGTCGTACCCTAGTTGTGGTAAACAAAGTGCGACCTCTTGCACTAAGATCTTTGGCAAAAGCCGTCCTTGTGCCTTAGGCAACAGTATGCAAGATAATCAAGAAGACTCTCCGTCTAGAAAAGTAACGCAAATGATGTATACACAGGTTGTTTCCATTACATATTACATACCCGTTCAACCGTCGCATACCTCAATGAACTGGAGACGAAACGAGTATTCATGCTATTCCATATGAATTCATACCGGGTCAAGTCGCCAGACGCAGCGCCTATGGATTTCTGAACGATTGGAATGTTGAAACAGGCGCTGGGAACTGTTATTTTTCTACACTAGATGAACTATAGAAAGTAGCAGAGAGGTGAAGTGTGCTTCGGACAGAGACTTTTACAATGAAAACTACGTTATAGGAGTATTGTTAAGATGCATATTCGTCAGACTGCATGGACTGTAACGACGTGGTCAATCTCCAAAATCGTTATATTCGCCCGCCAATAGTCGTCAGTATTATATGCATACAGATGTAAATATATGAATGATAAGTGTGTCTACACAGATGTACAGATATGGCTGTTTCTTGTATATTCTGAAGATGGGCGAACCATCCTTGATGAAAGAATTTTCTTTTGTAGTTAATGTTAAAATGTTAGCTTCTTTTCCAATTTCTTATTATTTTATTTGTTGTTGAATTCGTGTGAAAACTCAGATTTTTACTTATTTGGTAAGAGAGATATTGGGAATCATCTTCCTATTCAAACTACTTGGAAAATTTTCAATATATACTTTGGCGTATCTAAGTCCAATAGCTGCGATCGAAAATAATATGAAACTTTTATCCTTGACATTAATAATAAAGATTCCCAGAGAATTAATTCTGTTGTTTAACATTAAGTGCAACAATCCCCTTATTGTCGAGTTTTATTGATTAGAAAAACGTTTCTCCTCTTGTTACAGCGGACTTTAGTGACAGTTAATATGGAACCAAATTCTGTAAGGAATGTCGATCGCGTGAAAGAGAGGAATGTTGAGAAGATATGGAAGAGAAAGTTTCTCCCACTCCATCCCACCGTAGAACGCTCCACGGAATTCGGTAATTAACCATTCTTGACAGGCCCTACTTGCCGAGACCCCTTTGAATGATAGGAAGAGGAGAGGCAACTCACGACAACGGCGGCCGCCCCAGTCACGGCCGGCAGGGGTCGTCTGGGCCATTGCGGCTAATTACTACCCCTAGCCTGGAGCATAAAATGATACTTACGTGCCGGGAAGGATGTTGTAAAAAAGCACAAAAGAATGCCGAAGCTTTCATTTTAGAAATGATTGAATTGTTCTTGTTTGAACTTACGAAAAACTGTTGTTGCTTTTAAATAAAAAATTATTGAATACAAGTCTTATAAACTCAGCAATCTCGGTAGGACACTGTTGGACTTCTAGCTTTTATCTATATATATAAGTTTAATGTGCAATCGTTCGTGGTAGCATTTCGGCGAATACGTGTGGATTGAAAAAGTGACAAGGAAAACTTAGCTACGAAATTTTGTCAGCATTGATTAGGCATCAGACAAAATAATTCCGAACATACATCGTTACAAGTAGTAAAAAAATGTTTAACGTACAGAAACGCCAGCACACAGATAGATCTAGCTAATATTGTTGGTTATAAGAAGTTCTGGACTTAATGGAACAAAAGATGTGTGGTATAAATAAACATGATAACATTACTTCATAGACTACAAGAAACAAGGTTCCTGCACATATTTATATTTTTCTATACACGTCATGGCTTAGTTTTATCAAATATTCAACACATACACACGCATAGTGTGTATCAAATTAATTTCAAATAGATAATACAGTATAATTGTAAGATATCAAATTTATATGTATATTTTACTTACGTTGAAGGTTTCCAACAATCTTATACCTTGAATAGAATACCTTACTGTATGTGATCATGCAGGCTGGTATTAACGAGATAAGACTCGGTGTTCCAAGTGTAATGTTTCAGAGTCCGTAGTAAACTACAAGCTAGGACAGCTTCAAAGTGAAATCAATGTGGCCAGTGCTTTACTAGTTACAGTGTCTTCACGTGCGATGCAAGCTGTCCATAGATTATCGGGCCACAGTTGTATATAAGCTTTAATATTAGAGAAGCTTTTAGACTCCGTATGAAAGAATCTCTTTACCGATATCTTAGAAACTTCGTCATCCTGCCCCTGTACTTGCGTGGTCTATTCATCAGATAAATTTAATTGTAGGCTAAAGACTCCTCCTCCCGAGATCTTCTACAGAAGCAATTGAAAGATATAAGCATTGATGACACGTTATATTGTAGCTTGAAAAAGACACTTTTAAAGGACTTATGGACGAGGATTTTTTATCACTATCGATGATCAGCAACTCTCAAGGTTTTCTTTCTCCTCCTAGATGTTATCTACTGTACCGACGTTTCTTAAAAGTAGGTATTTAAAGTAGCTCTTCGTGCAACCGATGCCTGACCAAACTGTGGTGGCACGCTTCTGAAGGCAGCAGACGACCTTTCGGTTCCAGCTGCGCGAGCGGAGCTGTCATTGGCACTTGCATGGATTATTGCAAAGTAGCGACATCTGGCGGAAAGAGGTACGTCTTCAACAGGCACTACACACAAAGGTGAGAGAATCCAAAAATATTCGAGAGTTTTGAAACACAGCTGAAGGCATTATCTTCTGACCAGCAATCAATAAACAACACAGAAGATATATATGGGCGAAGATACGAATGACGCTGTAAGCAACATGTTGTAGCGTCTAGTTCTCCTTCTGGGCGGTGAATTCATTCAACGTCCGTTGGCCAGATGTTAATGTTGGACAGGAAACTGTCAATCTGTACGAAGTTCAACGTGCATACGACATATTCAATAATTTATACGTTTTTCGGTTGAATAAACAGCACTGCACGTGCATGCAGGCACCATTGTAACGTTTAAATCAACATATTTACTATACTAATAATGTCAAATCAAAAAATATTGATAATATTAAACAAAATTAGTTGTTTGCCACACTTGGAAACTTCGATTGCTCTACGTACATGAAAATGTCATTTAAAAATTTCTTTATTACACATGTTCTGTAAAATATGAAGAATGTTTTATAACTTGTGAACATGATATATATTTTTATTCTATTACAAGCTACAACTTTTACAGTAAGGACGGTTTGTTTCTAGAACAGGTACAACGTTTCGATCATTGGTGCAATCATTCCTAAGTGATCGAAACGTCGTTTATGTTCTAAAAACAAATCTTCCTTACTGTGAAAGCTTAACTTGTAATAAAATAATACATAATCAGTTAGTAAACTCAAATTATTCTTTAATATATTGTATGTAAATAATTTTAATATGTTCTTTTATTCAGAGTTTCACTTGCTTTATTGCCCCCCCCCCCCAGTGGCAAGTCTGTGGACTTACACAGAAAGACCATAGTGTAGCTTTGTGCTTAATTTCAAACAAACAAACAAGTCACTTGCTTTGATTGACTAAATTGTACGGAATTATTTGATGTTATTAGCTATTAGTAACAATCTCTAAACTTAGAAGAAAAGCACAGCCTGTTTAAAAACTCAACGTACACTTGACACCATACGGCTGAATATATCAATTCAGTATTGAATCATTAAAACGACCTCGAAATATGTGGCGTGTCTGTTTTGAGACCGTTAACGGTCTCAAGATAAAGTTTTTAATTGCATACTTAAAAACGTTGATCGTCTGAGTATTTTAATTATATTTAAATAAGTACCTCGGATTTTTACAGAATATAACACTTTGTGAAACCGGTAATAGCGTCCTTTCTTACAGAATATAACACTTTGTAACATTGGTAATAGCGTCTTTTCTTACAGATTATAACAAGTTGTGAAACCTGTAATAGTGTCTTTTTTTACAGAATATAACACTTTAAGACATTTGTAGTTGCGTCCTTTTGTACAGAATATAACACTTTGTGACATCGCTAATAGCATCTTCTCCCACTGAATACAACAATATGACACCGATAATAGCATGTTCTCGTACTGAATGCAAAACTTTATGACATTGGTAATAGCGCCGTCTCTTACTGAATACAAAACTGCGACACCGGCAATACTGTCATCTGTAACAGAATATAACATTTTGTGAAACCGGTAACAACGTCCTTTATTACAGAATATAACACATTGTAACACTGGTAATAGCGTCTTTTTTTTACAGAATATTACACTTTGTAACAGTGGTAATAGTGTCTTTTCTTACAGAGTATAACACTTTGTGATAGTGGTAGTAGTGTCTTTTTTTACAGAATATAACACTTTGTGACATCGCTAATAGCATCTTCTCCCACTGAATACAACAATATGACACCGATAATAGCATATTCTCGTACTGAATACAATACTTTATGACATTGGTAATAGCGCCGTCTCTTACTGAATACAAAACTGCGACACCGGCAATACTGTCATCTGTAACAGAATATAACATTTTGTGAAACCGGTAACAACGTCCTTTGTTACAGAATATAGCACTTTGTGACAGTGGTAGTAACGTCTTTTCGTACAGAGTATAACACTTTGTAACACTGGTAATAGTGTGATCTCTTACAGAATATAACACTTTGTGAAACCGGTAACAACGTCCTTTATTACAGAATATAACACTTCGTGACATCGCTAATAGCATCTTCTCCCACTGAATACAACAATATGACACCGACAACACAATATTCTCGTGCTGAATACAATACTTTATGACATTGGTAATAGCGCCTTTTCTTATTGAATATAAAACTGCGACATCGGCAAATTGTGTCATCTGTAACAGAATATAACATTTTGTGAAACCGGTAACAACGTCCTTTATTACAGAATATAACACTTTGTGACAGTGGTAGTAACGTCTTTTCTTACAGAGTATAACACTTTGTGACAGTGGTAGAAGCGTCTTTTCTTACAGAGTATAACACTTTGTGATAGTGGTAGTAGTGTCCTTTTTTACAGAATGTAACACTTTGTGACATCGCTAATAGCATCTTCTCCCACTGAATACAACAATATGACACCGATAATAGCATATTCTCGTACTGAATACAATACTTTATGACATTGGTAATAGCGCCTTCTCTTATTGAATATAAAACTGCGACACCGGCAATAGTGTCATCTGTAACAGAATATAACATTTTATGAAACCGGTAACAACGTCCTTTGTTACAGAATATAACACTTTCTGACAGTGGTAGTAACGTCTTTTCGTACAGAGTATAACACTTTGTAACACTGGTAATAGTGTCATCTCTTGCAGAGTATTACACTTTGTAATATTGGTAATAGTGTCTTTTTTGCAGAATATTACATTTTGTGACATCCTTAATAGCATCTTCTCTAACTGAAAATGAGTTGTGCTGCATGCAAGAGCTACCTTCACATTTAAGATAAGATTAAGTTTTCAAACGGTGATATAAGATTATATATAGGAACTACAAGATTATTCACTTAGTCAAAATACACGGTTCAGAAGAACGTGGTTTCTAACAGTCAGTACGAGGTAGTAACGTCAATTAGATTAACTGGGCGTGAGTTCGGGAATGTCTCGAAGGCGTTTTATCTTTCCAGTTTACAACATTTAACTTTTCATAGAACTTCATCAGAAGGAGGAAGGGGGGAGAAGGCTAAAAAGATATGACATAGAAAAGCAACAAAATAATTCGAAGAGCTGCAGTTTTTAAAAATAAAACACAATTTTACATGGCAGATTAACCCATGGTTTGAAATTCTAAAAGCGTGTACTGTCCATGAGCCGCTACAAAATAATACTGTACCATCGTTTAACCACTGTATTAAAAGAATACATAAAGCAAGTGTAACTATTAATAGACGTACGTGATATTTGTTAGTGTATCAAAGATATTCTAAATCTAATTGTGAATACGTGAAAGAGTAGATTGTTGTAAAACTTACAGCTATCACATAAGCTGGTTCAAAGTTTACGTAAGACTAGAGTTATTACAAATTACGTGTTCAGAACTGTAATTATTATATCACTTTTTGTAACATACATCATTTTCTCCATGCGTCCTTCCTGAAACATAATATTCATAAGGCTTCATCTGAACAATAGGATAAAACGAAGAATTCTAGTTATGTGCTCAAACTAACTAATTTGTTTATAGTTTTTTACACTTATATACAGTATATGAAATTTTGTGCTGATATTACTAAAACTTAAAATCAAATTACGACGGAATGATATATATCAACACAAATAAATATTAACTACAGGAATTAATTTCGTATTATTATTAAGAAGTTTTACAATAAATATTAAAAACATGGTAATACCAAAAAAACACCTTTAATATGGGCGATTCGGAATTTCCTTAAATACTATCATGGTCGTTAATATCTCAAAAAAGTTAGTTCATAATATTCGAACTAAAAAACAACAAATTAGCAGTGAGCGAGTTTTCATATTCAATTGAAAGTTTAGAAAGAACATATTTAAATGGTAATAATATAATGGAATATACGATAAAACGTGCGACTTCCACATGTTTAATAAATAATACTGTTAAGAGAAACTATCATAGAGAAAGGCTTAAATATAAGTATGAAAACTGTATCTTTAAAAGAATAAATATAAAATAAAAAGCACTGAGAATCCGGAATTGATTACATTAATGACAACAGGGAGGAGTTGGTGTTATTATTTAGTGTTGGGTGATCAATTATAATGAAGAGACTTTCTTTAATAAAGAGTTCGTAATCTATGGTTCCGGAGTCGAGAACTTTAAAGTGTTCTAGAAGTATGGGGTTGTTTTACTCTTACTGTACAATCGGATACAAGACTCGGGTGGATTAGTTAACTGATATTCGCTTCTTGCTGAAATCTCCATGTGCTCGTGTGCACGTATTTGAAGTTGACGTGTAGTTTTACCAATATAGGTAGCTTTACAGCTACCACAAGTGTATTTATATACGACTCACGAGAGCATAGGAATGGGTAGAGTGTCTTTGGTTTTAAACATATTTTTAATTCTAAATGTTGACGTAAATACTAAACTTAACATAATTTGTGGATAATATGTTTTGATTATTTTTGGAATTTGATATTTGAGTTTAACGGGTGATAAGAATTAGTGGATATTTTGAGACAGTGTGTGACTTTTTGGTAGGTTATATCTTACTTTTTGAAAAATCTTCGTGTAATAGAGTGTAATAAATTAAGAGAATAACCATTACTTTGTAATATGTTACACATTTTTGAAATTACTATGTGAAGTCAGAAGTAGTCAGAACAGATACTATACACTGTGTTTAGAAGATTTAGAACAAGGTTATGTTTGAAGAAGTCTCTTATGAAACTGTCCAAACGAGTGTATAAGCCAGTAAATGTTTCTTACGATAAATACACTTGACAAAGAGATTGTTTATTTTGTTTATTTGAACGTCTAAAAAAGCTAAGTTATTGTTTTTTTTTCCATCTCATATGTAAAGTTTATACATGGATGTTGTGAGTTTAGATATTATACAAACTTCTTGGTGTGATCAGTGTTGTGAAAGAGTAGAAAAGTACCATCAATTTACCTTCTGTATAATACTGGCTTGTAATAAAGAGAGCAATTATTCAGCCATTTATGTTCGTAATACCATAGAAAAATATTTGCAAGGGTCGGACCCAGAGG